TTTTTTTTTTTTGAGACAAAGTCTCACTATGGCACCCTTGGTAGAGTGCCATGGTGTCACAGCTCAGTAAATTCAAACTCTTGGGCTCAAGCAATTCTCTTGCCTCAGCCTCCCAAGTAGCTGGGATTATAGGCACCTGCTAAAACACCCAGCTATTTTTTGTTGTAGTTGTCATTGTTGGTTAGCTGGCCCAGGCCAGGTTTGAACCTGCCACCTTCTGTGTATGTGGCTGGCACCATAACCACTGTGCAATGGGCCCCAAGGCAAGATGTGTTCTTTCTCAGGTGTATGACAGAAAGGCCAGGCACTACTGTGAGCTTGATAGTCTAAAGACCTATCCGGTGACACTGTAAACACGGCTGGTTGTTCTGATACTATCATGGACAAAAACAAAAAAAGCATGGAGAATACCAGCAGATCAGGATGGCAAAACTAATGCAGCCAATGTCTGATTCCCAGGGTCTCTGCCTCTTCTACACAGTCAGTACATACTACGCGTCTCAGCCTGAGCCATTGTGTAGTTACCTGTACAGTAAACAGTCCGTGCCACAGTGGCTGCGACGATGCTAGCAAGCCCTGTGCCTGCCCCCAGCTCCAGCATGGTGCGCCCTCGGAGGAGGTCCCGCTGGAACAGGATGTAGTCTGCCAGGAGCAGGGCGCCCCGCCACACCTGGAATGCAGATGACAAGGAGTGACAGGCAACGTGAGGCTCTGCGGAGACCCTGCAGGGCCACAGGAAGTGGATGGGACCTACCCACCTGCTTGCCAACATCTTCCAGTGGGGTGGCCATGGTGTGCTCTGGACAGGATGGAAACCGAAAGAGAAATGGCCAATGTAAAAATGGGGATGGACAGAAATCCACAAGACAGGGGTGCATGGCAATCTGGTGATAGGATCAGAGGGCGCTGGAGGTGGGAGTTGGGTATTCTAGACAGAAGCAGAAACAGGCCGCACTAACAGTCAGGAGGGGGTGTCTGAGCATCAGAGACCAGGAGCCGGGGCTGGATTGGAGACTGTGGCTGGGCTGGGGGGGCACTGTCAACAAAATGCTCCTTCCAGGACTTTGTGTTGCTCTGGCCTAAAATGCTGTCACTTGAAGGGTGCAGTGGACGTGTTTGTCCTCCCCAGCTGTACTCAGGGGTGGTCAGCTTCCCTTGAGGGAGAACGCGGACGGTGAGGTGAGACAGACCTGGGTGAGAAGCAGGTTTTGTCATTTTCTAGCAGGGTCACTTCAGTCACTCAACTACTCGGACATAAAAGCCAGTCTCCTCTTCTACAAAATGCAGAAGTTTCCCTCTTGCCTCTCACCCTTGTAGGGTCAGAACAGGGTTTGGCCAGATAATGCTTCCCAAGGAGCCAGGGCTGAGAAATATCCGATAACTGCTGGTCTCATCAAAGCTTGCAGCCCTTGGACGAATGGTGGTCACTGAAGCCCAGGGAGGGGAAATGACCAGCCCAAGGTCACAGTCAGGGAAAAAAGTCTAATTAGATCAAAACATCAAGATATTTTTCTTTTCTTTTTTTTTTTTTGCAGTTTTTGGGCGAGGCCGGGTTTGAACCCACCACCTCCAGTATATGGGCCAGTGCCCTACTCCTTTGAGCCACAGGCACTGCCCACATCAAGATATTTGATATTTTTCTAAAGCAAAATGGAAATAAGAGGATTTAAAAATCAACTCATTACCTAACAAATGCAAACATTGTAACCTAAATCTTTGCATCCTCAATAAAAAAAAAAGATCAACTCATTTTGGAGTCTGATGAAAAAACGACTTAAGATGTGATTTTTGCTGATACTGTTGACAAGAGAAAACATCAGGCAGGGTGACAAGGGAGAGAACGGGATGCTCGGGGACAGATGAAACAAAGGACCAGGATGCTGTGTGGCTCCCTGGGACCAGACTCCAAAAGGCCAGAACAATTTTCCCATGAAGTCTGGTCAACACAGATGCTGGGAAGCCAAGTGCAGCTGCCCTCTCTCACATGTCTGATAATATTTTTTTTTTTGAGACAGAGTCTCAAGGTGACACAATGGTGTCATTCATTATAGCTCACAGCAACCTCCACCTCTTGGGCTCAAGTGATATTCTTGCCTCTTTTTTTTTTTTTTTGAGACAGAGCTTCAAGCTGTTCCCCTGGGTAGAATGCTATGGCAATCACAGCTCGCAGCAACCTCAAACTCCTGGGCTTACATGATTCTCTTGCCTCAGCCTCCCAAGTAGCTGGGACCACAGGTGCCCACCACAACGCCCGGATATTTTTTGGTTGCACTTGTCACTGTTGTTTGGCAGGCTAGGGCTGGATTGAACCTGCCAGCTCTGGTGTATGTGGCTGGCACCTCAGCCGCTTGAGCCATAGGCACCGAGCCTCTTGCCTGTTTTTCTTTCTTTCTTCTTTTTTTTTGAGACAGAGTCTCACTATGTTGCCCTGGGTAGAGTGCCGTGGCATCTCAGCTCACAGCAACCTCTAACTCTTGGGCTCAAGTGATTCTCCTACCTCAGACTCTCAAGTTGCTTAGGACTACAGGTGCCTACCACAACACCCAGCTATTTTTTGTTGTAGTTGTCATTGTTGTTCAGCAGGCCCGGGCTGGATTCGAATCCGTTACCTTTGGTGTATATGGCTGGTGCCCTAGCCGCTGAGCTACAGGCACCAAGCCAGTTTTTCTATTTTTAGTAGAGTTGAGGTCTCACTCTTGCTCAGGCTGGTCTGGAACTCAGAGCTCAGGCAACCCACCTGCCTTGGCCTCCCAGAGTTCTGGGATTACAGGTGTGAGCCACTGCACCTGGCCTGTCTGACAATATTCCTGAATCTCGAGTACAGAGATTCTTGAATAGGCAAATTCTTCTTCATGATGGGTCATCAGGGGAGTCACAGGTCTCAGTGACTACCCAGCACGAGGAAGGAGGGATCTCTGCAGGGAGACAACTTGGAGGTCGAAGCCCAGCTGACTTCGTGCCTCCTTAACCAGGGTCAAGGGGAATTAGGATTCCAAGGGCATCATAAGAACATAAAAGACCAGCCTGAGGAACCACACCCATGAGGAACTCTAGGTTAGCAACGAGATGAGACAAGACAGTTTTAGGATCTGATTTGTGCCTGCCCCATTAGACCCCACAATCTTTTGTCTCACCCATCTGTTAACTGAGTCACTAGACTCGTAGGAACCCAAACCTCCTCCTCAGCATCTTCCTTCTCCCTGACTTTGGTGGTGGCTCACATTTATTCAACATACGTGTGCCAGGTACTGTGCCAAGAGCTTCCTGTGTGCTCTCTTAAGTCCTTACAAGCAGACAGTGTTATACCCACTTTACAGGTGAGGAAACTGAGCTCAGAAAGGCAACTTGCCCAGTTCAAACAGCCAGTGGGAAGAGTCTGACAGACTGAGTTCCAGTCCTACTTCTTTTAAGTTTTTTTTTTTTGGCCGGGGCTGGGTTTGAACCCACCACCTCTGGCATATGGGGCCGATACCCTACCCCTTTGAGCCACAGGCGCTGCCCAAAGTAAATCTTTTTTTGTTGTTGTTGTTGAGACAGAGCCTCAAGCTGTCGCCCTGGGCAGAGTGCTGTCGCATCACAGCTCACAGCAACCTCCAACTCCTGGGCTTAAGTGATTCTCTTTCGTCAGCCTCCCAAGTAACTGGGACTACAGGCACCCGCCATAACGCCTGGCTATTTTTTTGTTGCAGTTGTCATTGTTGTTTGGTGGACCCAGGTTGGATTCGAACCTGCCAGCTCTGGTGTATGTGGTTGGCGCCTTAGCTGCTTGAGGTACAGGTGCCACTCTTTCAAGTTCTTTTTGAGTTTTGGTTTATCTATAAAATGAGAGAAATGATCATGATTTATTTTGAATTTTGGGTCCATGGATCCCTAGAAAAATCAAGATGACCTTTTTGGATTTCTTGTCAATCCCCTGAAATAGTTAAGAAAACACATTATTTTTCTTTCTTTCTTATTTATTTATTATTATTTTTTCTTTTTTAAAAATCAGTTTCTCAACTGGGTCCATAACTAAAGAAAAAAAAAGGGTTGGTTAACAGGTCAGAGGAAAAGGGTGGTCAAGAGAGTGATAGGTGCTTAGTTAGCACCTACTCTGTGCCAAGTCCCACCCCAGGCACTTCCCAGGTAGTGTTTCACAAAATTATCACCAAAACCCAGGGAGAGCCCTCACCCTATTTTATAAGCGCAAAGACTGCCGTTCTGGGTGGGCAACACACAAGTCCAAGGCCACCTGGCTCAGGAGGGGTGGTGTTGGGTTCAAAATTCAGCTCTGCAGGATTAGATCAAGTTTTGCAGCTGAGGATGAAATGATTAGGTGTCATCACCTGGGCACAAGCAGTTCATTAATTACCTTTTCCTCCCTCTGGGCAGGAATGGACCCACTGACAGCAAAAAAAGGTGAACTTCCAGGTATCGAGATAATGGGTGTTGCAATGAGGTCAGCAAAACAAGGCAGGCAGGGAAGGGGGCCACACTGTGGCCCTCTCCTGCAGGACTCTGTTCTGAGCATATAGGAAGACGGCAAGTTCCCAGAACACCAAACACATGCACACTGGAGGCCCAACATCAACTGTAGAATTACCAACCCTGCTGTTCCCCTCCTCTGGGAGGCTCAGCAAGTGAAGGCTGAGAGCAACATGAGCCATCGGCGGCCCACGTGAGAAACAACTTTCCAAGCCACTTTCGAATGCTCTGCTCACACGATGAGAGCTAAGAACACAGGCTGGGGCATCAGACAGACCTGGCGTGAGTCTCAGCTCTGCCACTGCCTAGCTGTGTGACCTTGGAGAAGTTCCTCAACCTCTCTGAGTCTCAGTCCCCACCTCTGTAAAATGGGAATACTCAGCCTTACCTGTTGAGGCCCAAGGACCACAGGTAATCCCTGGAAGCCAGGGAGCAGGCACACTGCAGTCACCCTGATGGAATGGTCTAGGATAGAGCCTGCTGGGTGCTGCTGTGCAGGCGCTCAAAAACTGCTTGTTGGATGGATGAAGGGACGGATACCAGAGCTGTTATTCTGTCTGTTTCTGAGGGTGACTCACTGACCCTTTCCCTGTCCCAGTCCAGTGCTGGGAGGGCCCTTTGCATAAGACCTTAGGCACCATGAAGAACAAGGGATCTTAACAGACAGACTCCAATCAGAGTGCTTTTCCCCACACAAGCAGTGCTGGGGTGGCCAGAGTCCCGGCTGTGGGACTGACCCACAGGATTCAAACCCACAGGATTCAAACCCATACACAGAGCTGATGGCTACTGGGTTGGCCATTTCCTGAGACCAGAGGAAAGGATGCTGGCAGAGATACCCAAAGCACAGCAGGAATTCAGCCATTGTCACCTCCTGCCCTGGCTCCCTAGAGCGCCAGGTCTCAAGCTTTGAAAGTGTGGGGTTACCAAATCCCCTCTGCTCTGATCCCTGTGCATGGGTGGCAGATACCACAAGTGGAAACCTCTTTCCTGCCAATTCATCACCTCCTCTTTCCTACCTAGCTTCCAGCTCTGACTGCCCTGTAACTGATTAATTTCAGATCTACACCCTTCTCTGCCATACTCCAGTTCCAGAGCCTCCTGTGGCTCCCCAGCCTGGCCATACCCTCCAAAAACTGTACCCTGCCCCACACCCTCCTCATGCTGAGTTACAGAGAACATAGCTACAGGAGGCAGCAGCCATGAGGCTTCCTGGGGAGGCGGGGCTGACCGGGACCTGCACAGTGATAAGGACTGTGCTGGGGGCAAGTGCTCTAGGAAGGAGGGCAGCACAGGAGAGGCCCACAGGTGAGGAGGTGCATGCAGGGGTGTGAGGCTGGTGGTGCCGTGAGTGGAGCAGGAGAGTCCTCCCCGCCACAGGTTCTGACACTCTGCGCTGCTGTACCCTCCTGGCCAGGCTGGACATGGAGTGGGCACTCAGATTGTGCTTGTGCCCTGATCAACACTGTGGAGCTGCTTCAGTGGCAAGTGTGTCAGACCTTCATTTACCTATCTTGATGACACTGTGGGGGCTGTTGCCACGTGCTTCCTCTCCCATGTCGTCCTCTTCTTCCTGTGCTAGAATCATGGGATGTACCTTGTCTCTCAGAGGCCCAGCTGGGTCAGGATCAGAGGTGGCCCGTGGTCTTCTCACTACGTCCAAATCCCCGTCCTCATCCAAACGAGCTCCTGCCTCTTCCTGGCCAGTGGCATCAGGCCTGGCCTGCAGGGAGAGACCCTCATTCCTGTGGCTACCTCCCAGAGGGGACCCTGCGCCACCTGTCCTGGCAGGAGGAGGCTCCTCTGTGTGAGCAACTTGGTGATCGCCGCCCTCAGCCCCTGAGTCTGTCCAAGAGTCTTGGCTCCAGAGAAGTTTGAACTGGGACAGGAAAACTGAAAGGCAAGACAGGACACACAGTAAGAATGCCGAGGTGTCTGTTCTTCTTGTCTTCCTCTTTCTCTGAGAAAATGTGATTACTATCTGCAAAGTTTTTTAAAGACTAGGAAGAGAGGTCAGTGTCCGTAGCTCAGTGGGTAGGGTGCTGGCCACATACACTGAGGCTGGTGGGTTCGAACCCTGCTGGGCCAGGTAAAACAACAATGACAACAACAACAACAAAAAAGGCCAGGCGTTTTGGCTGGCGCATGTGGTCTCAGCTACTTGGGAGGCTGAAGCAAGAGAATTGCTTAAGCCCAAGAGTTTGAGTTTGCTGTGAGCTGTGACACTATAGCACTAAACCAAGGGTGACATAGTGAGATTCTGTCTCAAAAAGAAGGACAGGACAAGGGTATGAAGTGTCCCTCACCATCTGACGACTGGAAAGTCATATGTGCCAGGAGAGGCGGGCGGGGGGCAGGCATCTACTCGGAGCCTCAGTTTCCTCATTTGCATCCTGAGGCTCATAGTACCCACTCCTGGGTTATCTGAGGCTATGATGGGCCAGTCATAGAAAGCACCTAGCTCAGAGTGTGGAATACTTGTTTACAATCCTCTCTTCCCCTCACCCTTCCGTGCCATGAGGTGGGGCTCACTATTCTCCTCCCAATCCAAGGAAAATGCATCTGTGACACCATGGGCAGGGCTACAAAAGGGAGAGCCTGACCACTGCTCTTGCTTTCAGGCCTTCTCGCAGGCTGTTCCCCCCGCCTGGGCTGACGCTTCTTGGCTTTATGACTGAGCACGTTAGGTGCTCAGCAAACCACAGGAGTTTGCTCGTGTAAGAAGGGCACTTAAGAAGTGTTGTGAGGATAACAATTAAACAATCCAATTTTCCCAATATTTTCCCCAAAGAGATGAATATGACAAAGCAGAAGACTAATGAGTTGCTCGGGGACCTGGACCCAGGATCTTACCAGGTTGCCCCACACTGTTGAGCCGTACCATGAGGTGTCTATGGTTTGGGGTGTAGAGGTGGATGTCTGATAGCACAGTGTCGCTTCTAAAGGTGACTTCATCCATGGCTGGGGCAGAAGCCAGCTGCACCATGACCCAGGCTCCACGTTAATCCTGGGACAGGAGCACCTGAGGTGAGAACAGGTCGTTAGCATGGCAGGTGACACAGGGGAATGGTGTTCATCAGTGTGGATGAACCCAATGGAGTGGCCGAGAGCTTTGCACCCTCCCACCCCCAGGGGAGAAACTGCTTCTCTTCTCATTTCCTTTTACATTTTTCCTACGGAGAAAGTCTCAGAGACTTGGCCAGGAAAAAGAGTTCAGGTAGGATTCAATTGTGCTATTTGCTTATATTTGTTTTCATAGTAACCTTGTATTTATGGCAAGGGATCTGAATTTATATTTATAATGATAAAGTTTCCTTTCCTTTTTATTTTTTTCAACTTTTTTTATTATGAAAAATTTCAAACAGATAATGTTAGGGTAATGTAATGAACAACCATATACCCATGGCTCAATAATGGCCAACATTTTGCCAATGCACTTGTCCTACCTATTTAATTTCCTCCCCTTGAACTCTATGTGAACACTGCAGGCATTATGACATTTTACCTCTAAATTCTTTCTCAGTGTCTATCTCCTAAGAGCATTTTCCTATATAACCACAAAACTATTAGTAAATGTAAGATATATCCCCTAATATCATCTAAAGTCAATCTTCTGGCCAGGCGCAGTGGCTCATGCCTGTGAACCCAGCACTCTGGAGGCTGAGGCAGGTGGATCGCCTGAGTTCACGGTTTTGAGACCAGCCTGAGCAAGAGGAAGATAGTGTCTCTAAAAATGGCTGGGCTTGTGGTGGGCACTTGTAGTCCCAGCCACTTGGGAGGCTGAGGCAAGAGGATCACTTGAGCCCAAGACTTTGAGGTTGCTGTGAGCTGTGACACCACGGCAATCTACCAAGGGTGACAAAGTGACCTTTCTTGAGACTCTGTCTCAAAAAAAAAAAAAAAGTCAATCTTCTCTTTCCACCAAATGTCTTTCAGAGGTATTTTTTCCCAAACCAGTAATCACAGTCTATCCTTTGGATTTGGTTGCTATAACCTTTTACTCTAGAGGCTGATACCACCTACCCAAATGTCATTTGTTTTAAAGGTTTTCTGTGAATTTTTTTTTAAGTGAATGGCCTTAAAGGAAAAGCAATGAAGGGAATCACTGCACAGGTGATGTAAAGATATGGACAAATTACGGAGATAAGCAAAAAATAAAGTTTGGAAAACCATGCCTGAGGTCATGTGGTTAAAACTAGGAAGGATCTCCTGTGACCAAATGGACTACCTAATCAAAAACACCGGACAGCAGCAGGCGGAGTTTTTATCTTTGAGACAAAGTCTCACTCTGTTGCTTAGGCTACAGTGCTGAGGCATCAGCCTAGTTCACAGCAACCTCAGGCTCCTGGGTTCAAGCAATCCTCCTGCCTCAGCCTCCTGAGTAGCTAGGACTACAGGTGCCCTCAATAACACCTGGCTCATTTTTCTATTTTTAGTAGAGATAGGGTCTCACTAGGGTCTCACAAGGGTCTCTTGCTCAGGCTGGTCTCCACCTCCTGAGCTCCAGGGATCCTCCTGCCTTAGCCTCGTAGAATGTTAGAATTACAGGCGTGAGCCCACTGTGCCTAGTCAGTTTAATGAGATTTGAAGCTGGTGGGAACTCAGGTCTCTCACCCCTTAGCCTAGAGACCTCAGGAAAAATCACTTCACCTCTCTAGACCTGTTTCTTTAGCTGGTCTCCCTTTACAGTGTTACTGGTGGTAAGGTACTCGGCAGAGTCCCTGGCCCATAACAGTGTTAGTAAAATACCAGCAACTTCCTTGTCCTGGGGTTGGTTTCAGGCATTTGACTCAAACCTGCCCATAAACCTAGACTGCCTACCCTGGCAGGGGTGTCCAACCTGTGGTCTGTGGGCCACATCCTGATTATTTGGGACTGTTTTGCTCATCTGTGGTGTCAGCTATCTTGAAAAGTATGCACAGATTTGTCAGTTAGTCTTTTTGTATTTAATGTGTGGCCCAAGGCAACTTTTAGTCTTCCAAATGTGGCAGAGAAGAAAAAAGGTTGGCTTGGTGTGTACTAGATATGGGACCTAGGCATGTCATGAAACCCTCAGGGACTCCATTTCTTCAACTAGAAAAAAGGATCGTCATCACCCAGGTTGTCCCTATGATCTGGGCACACAAGTGGTGTTCCTACATTTGAGTGCTTGTCACAAAACAAAATTTTTTATGTCTCTCAATATAAAAAATTTCAGGAAACAGACAACTCCTTTTTAGTCTCCAAGTCAGCTTTCTTACTTGACACTGTAAACCAACAAAGAACAAGTGGGTTGTGAATCTGGCAAATCAATGTAGGACTTCGGGGTGTCAAGGAAAGTGATGGAGAAATGTTCGACCTTCAGGAAAAAGCTCTTAACCAATGGGGCATGGCAAAATCAGACTGAATCCTGGAAGAGGAAATACAGCTTAGATCTACCACACAATTTGTTTCAAAGGCAGCTTTGGGTCTACAAGCCCTGAGGGATGTGCTGGGGAAAAACTGAGGACTCTCACATACAGCTTTTGGAGCAAAAAAATAAAAAAAATCCTCTCTGATGTTGTTGTGAAAGTTGAACTAAAGGATGCCATTTTTTGCTATAGTGCAATTTTGTTGGAGAGAGTACATCTCCCCTCCTCCCCCCCAAATCAATGTTCTTTGCTTTTTTTGGGACAGAGTCTCACTGTCACCCAGGCTAGAGTGCAATGGCATCATCAAAGCTCACTGCAACTCCAACTCCTAAGTTCAAGCAAACCTCCCACCTCAGCCTCCCCAGCAGATGAGATGGTAAGTGCATGCCACCATGCCCAGCTAATTTTTCTTCTTTTAGTGGACATGGGGGTCTCGATTTTGCTCAGGCTGGTTTTGAACTCCTGGCCTCAAGTGATCCTCCTGCCTTAGGCTCAGAGTGCTAGCATTACAGGCTTGAGCCACTATGCCTGGTTTCAAATTGTCTTACATACAGACAAAAACCCTTTCCAATTCTTAATTTGTAGTTGAATTTTCAATTTAAAATTCAGACTACCCAGCCTTCCCAGGAAATGTACTCAGCAATGGAAGACTAGGTGAAGAAGATTCCCTCTAAGCAGTAGTTCTCAACCTGTGGGTTGCGACCTCTTTTTAACAATGAAGATACACTGAGGAATCAGGAAGGTTGAGAACCACTGCTCTAAGGGGCCTTCTCCAGAAACAGCTCCCTAGGAATAAGGCGGCCCTCTTGTACCCATCTCAGGGGCTGTTTGAGGAGTAAATAAGATAAGATCAATTTCAGGGCTCAGGACACGGTAAATGCTCAATAAATACTGACAGTATTACCATCATAGCAATGTAATAATAATTATTAAAGGGAATGCTGGGAACACAGAAAAAGGCAATGGTCAGTTTTTCTACTTAGGAAAAGCTGAGTGTCTGTCTGGGAGTACAGGCGGTCCCCAGTTTAGGAATGAGATAGGTTCTGTAGGTAGGTTCTTAAGTTGAATTTGTATTCTGTTTGTAAGTACAAGTTGTATGTCAATTGGATGCAACTTGAGGACCATCTCTACTTGACTAGATGGCTTTGGACTCCTTCTTCACTGATCTAAGTTGCAGATGAGAACTGTGAACTATGGAAAAACTAAGCTTTTAAAGAATTAAAGTTAGTTTTATTCAGAGTTTTACTGAGGACTGAATCCGGGAGTCTTTCAGAGTCTCTGTTAAGGGGGCTCCAAAGCAGTGCTTCAGCCACAGCTTGTCTACCAGACAATGGCGTTTCTACACGGACTCAAAAGTTTCTCTAGAGCAGCGTTTCTCAACCTGTGGGTCACGATCCCTTCCTAATAATGACAATACATCGCAGCATTAGGATGGTTGAGAACCACTGCTCTAGAGTAATATCTAATCAAAGTTTGGGTGCAAGAGTACATCTGGTTATAGATTATAAAGCATCATTAATCTGGTCAGGTTGTACATACAGGAAGAGGCAAGGTCTAGGATTAGTGAGCTTATCTGTTTTTATTTTTCTGAGACAGAGCCTCAAGCTGTCACCCTGGGTAGAGTACCATGGCATCACAGCTCACAGCAGCCTCCAACTCCTGGGCTCAAGCGATTCTCCTGCCTCCGTCTCCCAAGTAGCTGGGATTACAGGAGCCTGCCATAACGCTCGGCTATTTTTTAGTTGCAGCCGTCGTTGTTTGGCGGGCCCGGGCTGGATTCGAACCCACCACCTCAGGTGTATGTGGCTGGCGCCTTAGCCGCCTGAGCCAAAGGCACCAGTGAGCTTATCTTTTTAAAAATATCAGTGATTCAAGCAAGAGACTTGGGAACCTGTGCTCTATCCTGCACATCGTCGTCAGGGCATTTTCCACAGGTTGCCCTTGGAGAAATTCTGCAGGGGAGGGATTTTGCGAAACGTTGCTGGCAAGCAGAATGGGCAAACAGGATTTCTAACTTTTACTACTTTGTCTCACAGAACTCACCCCAACCCCCCACCCGGGCTGCTGGCTGGTTCATCCCAGAAGCAGGAGACGCCAGGTGTTCTTGGCTCTTCCAATAGGGCTGTGGGGTTCTCATTCAGGCCCTGTCCAGTTTACTCCTATGACCACCTACAGTCCGCAGTCAAGTTGTCCCTAACAGCGGTTTGCTGGAATTACGAGACTGAAATAACTGCCCTCCTCCTCCTTTTTTCTTTCCACTAGTTAAGACTCATCCATGATTCTGTGACGGAAAGCTATAGGAACCAAGGCCTGAGGTGAAGGTGTGGTAAGACTTGCTCTGGCCACGGCTTGCAGAGTTGGAATCCGGGGCTCCAGGTGCCCTCTTCCTCCCGGGGCTCCTGGTTCTGTCTGGCCGCCTCTGTGACCTTACTCTGGGGGTTAACCATTGTCCTCAAAGGCAGTCACAGCTAGCGCACCGTTGTCCTTTCCTAATCTGGGACTGAGAGAGGCCGCCTGAACACCGGACGGAAACCCAGGTAAGCTGATGGCCTTCCTCCTTCAACTGCCGTGCTTAAAGGGGGAAACAGGCTAAAAGTGAGATCAGGCCATAGTGGGTTAATGGCCCTCAGTGATGTCCTCATGTGAGGACAATTCCAAAGTTAGGCTCAGTGACAAGAGGCTCCCTGCACCCTACCCCATCCCGTCCTCTGTCCCAGGAACTTACCCGCCGCGGGCCCCAGCCTGGTGTCCCACCCGACCCCATCACCACGAGACTCAGGGGGCCGCCATGACAGGCGATCCACGCAGGCGCGGCCCCGCCCCCAGGCGCGCCCGTTCCGCTCGCCCCACCCCGTGGTCACGCCCACCTGCCCGGGCCGCGTGTGCGTGCAAGTAGCACCGGGTGCTTTTTCCTTCTCTGGCGTTGGGCTAGTGGTAACCCAGCGGCGGTGGGAGCAGGCGCAGTTGTGGTCTATGGCGACTTGCTGGGGCCGCTGTCCTAGGTGGGGACGCCTGTGCACGTGGGTGGCCATACGTACTCCTCAGAGGAGTTAAAAAACTTGCCGAAAGTGACCCACAGGCTAAGTGGTAAGGCCTGGATGCAAACGGGATGTAGGGACCCAGAGCCTGGGCGGTCCCCAGAGTGCTGGTTACTGCATGCATCACGGTCTCGTTATCCTTGGTGTCATTGTGCTGGCTGTTATCTCAGTGATTTATCCACTCCTCATAAGCCCGACACCAGGGTCTGAGACAAATTAGCAAGTAGGAGAAGTTATGTTTGCTCGTCCTGCATAGCCCCTGACTCAGGCAGCTTGGCACTCCGGAAGAGGGCCCTGAGATGCTAAGTAAACAGCATGGATAGAGCACAGCTTCCATGTCTGTTGTCTAAATCCCTGCATTTGTAGAAAAGATGATCTTGGACCTTGTCTGTTCCTGTACATAAGATAAGGTCTGACGGGATTATTGATGATGCCTCTGTAATCTACAGAGGGTCCCCAAAAACGTATACACATTTTAAGAAAGGAAAAAACTATAAATTGTAATACTCAATATGTATTGATAACAAAAAATGAATACAAGCCACATCTGAGCAACTCAATTTTTCTTTTTTCTTGAGACAGAGTCTTGCTATGTCGCCCTCTGTAGAGTGCTGTGATGTCACAGCTCACAGCAACCTCAAACTCTTGGGCTTAAGCGATTCTCTTGCCTCAGCCTTCTGAGTAGCTGGGACTACAGGTGCCCGCCACAATGCCCGGCTACTTTTGGTTGCAGTTGTCGTTGTTTAGCAGGCTGGGGCCAGGCTCAAACCCCCTACGTTTGGTGTATGTGGTCGGCACCCTACTCAGTGAGCTACGGGCACTGAGCCAAGCAACTCTTTAAATTGTAGTAGTCAAATGTGACTTGAGTATTACAAATTTAACAAAGTTTTTCCTTTCTTAAAATGTGCATACCTTTTTTGAGCACCTTTTGTATAACTAGATGTACCCTTCCCCCAAACCTTGGTGAGATTTTGCTCTAATGTAACTTGAGAGCGCACACACACACACACACACACACACACGGGTCCCACCTGCTGAGTGGGCTGAAGGGCTACTTTGGAGCAGCCTTAACAGAAACAGACTCCTCCTGAGTTGCAATTCTCAGTAAGATCTGCTGAAAACTTAACTTTAATTCTTTAAAAGCTTGTTTTTCTTTAGTCCACAAGGGTGAATCCATAATCTCAGTCTTAGTTGGAGTCTAACAGGAGGAGAAATGCAACACAAATTTTACAAACTTTAAACTTGGAAGCATCCTCAATCTAAAAGTGGTAAGCAATTCAGGGCCCTGGAGGCCTTAGCATGAAACTGAGCAGTCTCCATTCATCTTCCAGCAGAACTTGGTCAGACCTTTGTTGTGTGTTTTCTCTGTGGACCCCACAGGGCTTTAGGAGAGTGGGTTTCAGGGAGCGTAGACACCAGCAATTATAGCACAGGCTGCGGGGAGCCCAGGGAGGCCTCAGGCCTGGTGAACTTTTGTAACTGTTTCCACAAATGGGAATGCACTTGCAGAGAACTGGCAAATGGGCAGCAGGCTTTGGAAGTACTCAAAGCTGCTTTCTTCCTTTACTGATTTTCCTGCGGTCTGTTCTGCAGTTGAGTAAATACACACTCACACACCAGACACACCAGAGTCACACTGACATGCACAGAGACTCAGGCAGACATCCTGACATGCTATCTCTCCACGCAGATTTGTCCGTGCAGGAGCCAGGAAAGAAGCACACAGGCGTGCATATGCAGACCTGCAAACACCCCAAGCTTCATGCAGAGTTATTTGTTCTTTGACTTGACAGATATGCATCAGCCAGTATTCTGTGTGTGGGGTGAGAGGGGAGGGAGAAAGACACAAAAAGGAATGAAACAGTCAAGGTTCTTGCACTCATGGAACTCACATTCTGTTGGAAAGGCAGATAAAAAAACCCCCAAAAACTATTGGGCGGTGCCTGTGGCTCAGTGAGTAGGGTGCCGGCCCCATATACCGAGGGTGGTGGCTTCAAACCCAGCTCTGGCCAAACTGCAACAAAAAAATAGCCAGGCATTGTGGCAGGCGCCTGTAGTCCCAGCTATTTGAGAGGCGGAGGCAAGAGAATCACCTAAGCCCAGGAGTTGGAGGTTGCTGTGAGCTGTGTGACGCCATGACACTTTACTGAGGGCAATAAAATGAGACTCTCTCTCTAAAAAAATATTTAAAAAAATCTATCTATTCACATATAGCGTGCTGGGTAGCCATGTGGATTATAGAGAACAGGTTGGGGAATGGAGACAGATCAAGTGGCTTAGGGAGGCCAGGATGCTATGGCAGGAGTTGAGCAGAGGCTAAATAAAGTGAGGAGGGGCCACATAGGCATTTAGAGGAGGGCACTGCAGGTGGAGGGAACAGCCAGTGCAAAGGCCCTGGGGCAAGACTGTGTTAAATGTGTTCTCCAGTGACAGCATGGAAATCAGTTTGGCTAGCCCAGAGCAAGCCAGAGAGTGGGCAGAAGGAACCAAGAATGCAAAGGTAGCCACAGTTGGAACGTTTGGACCATGGTAAGAACTCTGTATTTTATTGTATGAGAGATTGGAGCTGTCAGGGATGTACCCCACACTGATGTGTCAACAGACACATGTGGACACAGGCATGGCAGTACCCACCCACAGCACACAGGTCAATGAACACACAAATATAAACACAGGCATCTGGGGTCACAGCTATGTACACAAATGTGCACAGACATGGCCACAGGTGGCACCCTTTGTTTTAATTACTTTCAAACAGAGATTCTCTTTTCAAAACAGAAGTGTCAATATCAATTTCATGGTTACTGTTGATAAAACACGGGGAGTTGATAGGATGACCAAGTAACACAAATAAGGAAAAAATTTTCCTTCTAAGGAAACAGATTGTGTTTCCCCGAGGACAGTACACGGAGAGCCAGCTAGGTGTCTTGGGACGGGATTCTAGTCCTAGTGATCTCTCTAGTTCACTGAGGGCTCTCTCAGTTATCCCCAGGCAGTAACTATTTGTGGGGTGGGTGCAGAAAGGCATTGTTCCAAGCCCTGAGAGTTTTCGCTTCAAATTTAAAGCAGGCAGAATGATCCTTTAAAAATAAAGTCTGATCATGTCCTTCTTCTGACCAAATCCTTAGAGATTCCATCTTAGATAGAAAGAGAAGCAATGTTCTCACAACCATCTCCTCCCCACCTCCTGTGCACTCCTTGGTCCAGCCATACTGACCTCCTCACTGCCCTTCCCAACCTGGTCATGACCCCCTTCAAGTCCTTCACACCAGCCGTTCCATTGGCCAAGGAGCTTTAACTCTGGACAGTGCCCTTCCTTGCTTGGTTCCCTCAGCTCCTCTTCCATTCCGTGGGTATTCCTTCTCTCTGTCTTGCAGAAGGCATTCATGAGGTGGTGGAGGCAATTACAACTCTAGAGCAGTGATTTTCAACCAGTGTGCCGTGAGAGGACCTTAGATGTGACATGAAAAATTTTAAAGGTAATTAAATTATTTTTGAAAGATGTTCAAAGCACAGTAAATATATTCTTATTTTTATTTTTTTGATCAATATAATTTAAGTGTGCTATGGAAGTTTAACTATAGGTTAAAGTGTGCTGTGAGATAAAAAAGGTTGAAATAGACTGCTCTAGAGCCATGCTGTGTATATGATAGCTACTAGCCACAGTGATTCTTAAGTTTAAATTTAAATAAGTTAGGCCAGATACTTTGGCTCACACTTATAATGTCGGCACTTTGGGAGGCCTAGATGGGAGAATTGGTGGAGGCTAGAAGTTTGAGTTAGAGTTATAAGTTTGAGCTAGAAGTTTCCCAGCTGGGAAATATAGCGAGACCCCATCTCTACAAAAAAAGGAAAATTAACTGCACACGGCATGCGCCTGTAGTCTCAGCTCCTCGTGTAGCTGAGCTGGGAGGAACCCATGAGCCAGGGAGTCTGAGGCTGCAGTGGGCTATGATCCTGTGTGACAGAGCAAGACTGTGTCTCTAAAAAAAGTTTTTTAAAATTTAAATGAGTTAAAATGAAATGAAATATTCCTCTGTCATTGAAACAGTTACATTTTAAGGGCTCAATGGCCACATATGACTGGTGGCTACCATATAGGTCAGCTCAGATACAGGACAGTTCTGGCATCCCAGCTACTGTTGCTTGGCACACGTTAGGGTTTCGAGGAGTTTTGCTGAAGAGTTATTTGTAAATGTCCCTTCCTCAAAGACCACCACAGCACAGTCCCCAGAGCTCGATGAGGATTGCCCACAGGTCCAGGAAGCCTCCCAGGTCCTGCCCATGACGTCTATCAATAAAGCTCCCATCACAGTGGGCTGCCATGGTCTCCTCATGGCCACGAAGTCCCTACTCTTTTCATGGGTGGGTGCGCTGGGAGGCATGTTAGTGTCCTACAGCAAATGATCACAAATTTGATGTCTTTTTTATTTTTAATGTGGTGTCTTAAAACAAGAGAAACGCATTCTCTTACAGTTTTGGAGACTAGAAGTCTAAAATCAAGTCTTTCCTTGCATCTTCGAGCTTCTGTCTGGTGGCCCTGGGCCTTCCTTGGCTCAGGGCAGCCTCATTCTGTTTGTCTCTCTTTTTTTTAAATTATTAAATTAATCAGCTATACTTTTTTAAAATTAATTTTTAATTAAAATCATAATGTATACATTTATGGGGTCCAATGTGATGATTTGATATACAATGTGGAACGCTTAAATCAAACTGATTAATATTGCCATCACCTCACTTATTTTTTGTGGTAAGACATTTAAAATTTACTTTTAGTTGTTTTGAGTTAGTTAATACACCCTTGCATATGCACATTAGGTGAGATCCCACCCATTGCCCTCCCCCTTCTCCCTCTCCTCTCCTTCCTCACTCCTCTCTCTTGCTAGACTGTATTTGTGTTTTATCATTCATATGAGTGTATAAGTGTTTATATATTGGTTTTATGATAGTATTGAGTATGTTGGATACTTTTTCCCCCCATTCTTGAGATACTTTACTAAGAAGAATGTGTTTCAACTCCATCCAGGTTAATACAAAAGATGTAAAGTCTCTATCTTTTTTATGGCTGAGTAGTATTCCACAGTATACATATACCACAACTTGCTGATCCATTCGTGGGTTGATGGGCATTTGGGCTGCTTCCACAAGTTGGCAATTATGAATTGGGCTGCAATAAACATTCTGGTGCAAATGTCTTTGTGGCAAAGTGATTTTTGTTCTTCTGGGTGCCTCCTTCTTCATATGGCCTCATTCTCTATGTGTGTCTCTGCTGGAGTTAGAACTTACCTATCCTAAAATCTGGGATGATTTTATCTCCAGATCTATGCCTATAAATACCCTATTTCCAAATAAGTTCACATTCACAGGCGCAAGGTTGGTACTTAAACATGTCTTTTGGGGGACACAATTTGATTCATAGTAGAAAGCAGCTTGGAGTGGCTGGCCCAGATGTAGCTCTGCAGGACGCAGCTGAGCGAGTCGCCCCAGTAGTCCTCCTGGCTGAGGCCTTAGAGCCGTGTTCTCCAAACTTTTTTATCTCACGGCACCCTTGACCCTCCCTATAGTTAAACTTGTACAGCACAGTTAAATTATGTTAATCAATAAAAAGAGTTAAAAAAAAAAAGGATATACTTACTGTGCTTTGGATTTCTTTCAAAAATGATTTAGTTAATGATCTTTAAAATTTTTTGCAGTATACCTAAGATCCTCTCACAGCACACCAGTTGAAAATCACTGCTGTTAGATATTATGGCAAAGTGGCCCTGCTGTGCTCTGTCTAGACTGCTATAGACTGAATGTGTCCCCCAAATGGATACTTTGAAACCTACCATGTTTCCTTGAAAATAAGACACTGTCTTATATTTATTTTTTCTCAAGAAGACACACTAGGGCTTATTTTCAAGGGAGGTCTTATTTTTAGTAAGTATAATACAACAATCTACATTTATTCAAATACAGTTAAGTCATCTTCTTCTGGAACCTGACCTTGTTGGTGGGGCTGGCACTAGTGATGTGTGAACTCCTTTCCCCTGGCTGTTCGCACGTGTGCAATAGGATGCCTGCGACCTTGGTTACCACTCGCACACCTGTGCGAGTGTGAAGGCCTCGGAGAAAGAAGATGTAGCAGATAAAATGTATTCCAGTCTTCCTTACAGCTCCACACTGAAATCGCTAGGTCTTATTATGGGGTAGGGCTTACATTTAACAAATGCATAGAAATCCTGCTAGGCCTTATTTTTTGGGTAAGTCTTATTTCCAGGGAAACACGGTAATCCAAAGTGTCCTGGTTTGGGAGGTGTCTTTGTCCATTGGTGTTGCTGTAACTGAATGCCTGAGGCTGGGTAATACAGAAAGAAGAGAGGTTTGTTCGGCTTGTGGTTCTGCAGGCTGTGTGAGAAGCATGGCAGCCGGTGAGGACCTCCGGAAGCCTCCACTCACGGAGGAGTATCTGGGAGAGAGGGAGGAAGAGGTGCCTGGCTCTTGTTGACAACCAGCTCTTCCAGGGAGCTCTCTTGGTAACTAACGGAGCAAGAACTCACTCACTACAGTGATGAGGGCACGAAGCCATTCATGAGGACCTGCCCACATGACCACAGGCTCCCCGTTAGGCCCCGTCCCCAACACTGGGGATCAAATTTCCATAGCAGTTTTGGAGGGTTAAATATCCAAACTGGAGCAGGAGGTGATTAAGTCTTGAGGACGGAGCCCTGGTGAATGGGATTAGCGTCCTTATAAAGAAGGCTCTAGGGAGCTGCTGTCCCCTTCTGCTCTGTGAGACACAGTAACGGGACAGTCATCCATGAAGCAGGAAGCAGGCCAACACCTGGCAGGAATCTGCGGATACCTGGATCTTGGCCTTTCCAGCTTCTTCTAGAAGCGTGACAAAGTCTGTTGTTTCCTTGCCCCCTGGTACAGGGTATTCTATTATAGGAGTGGTTCTCAACCTTCCTAATGCTACAATGTATTTTCATTGTTACAAAGGGGTCGTGACCCACAGTGTTATAGCCTCCTAGGTGGCCTTAGAGACTGACCCATAGGATTCATAAACGTAAGTTACCGTTCATGCCAGAGTTTGGGGCCCGTTTTCTCCCTAACGTTAGGTAAGGAGGGAGACAGTCAGCCCTTCTTTGCAGGGCCAGGAAGGGGTAGTAGCTGGGGTAGTGGGCCAGAGAGCCCTGTGTTCTGAGCTCCAGTTACATACAGGGCACTCTGCTGGCCCCTCACCTCACATTCTTCATTCATCCTCACACTCGCTTGAGGCTCAGAGAAGTGAGAGGCCTTGCTCAGGGTCACCCGGCTGGTGAGATGCAGACTTTGATCTCCAGTGTTTCCCAGTGAGTCTATGGAGTGGAGCCTTGTGGCCAAAGCCCTCTCTATGTCCCAGGAAGCTCTCTCCCTCTGACATCTCCCCCAGGCTTGGCCAGGCAAGGGTTAAGGCTGGCGCTCACAAGTGCTGGAGTGTCCATCACTCCCACCACGATGTGCAATGTGCGGTAAGAAACCAGCTTGCAGGAAATTGATATCAGGTGATTATTATTAGCTTGGTTATTCAGCACAGCCCTTTCTCTAAAGGTTGTGCGTTTATCAAACACTTGGTGTGTTTACCCAGTCAGCCCTACAAGGTTTTGTCCTCCTAAGAGACAGCCTGTCCCACAGGACTGCTGAGAGCGGGTGATTATAATCCTGCCCCTGCCTCCCATCGGCTCATCACAGCAGCTGCATTCAGGGCACGGCAGCGGCCTCTGGTTCCTGGTTCTCTGTGCAACGAGATTGACCTTCAGGTGCACAGAGCTGGGTTCACATCCCCAGCTTAGCTGCTGATTCACTATATTCATTCATTCAATATCTAATTTTGGAGAGTTTTTCACAGGCTAGGTACTTGAGCAATTACTTTACTTCTTTGAAACTTAATTTTCTAATTTCTCAGATATTGACAATATGTTTCTCCAAGTGTTGTGAGAATGAGTGATGTATACTCCACGGAAAGTTCCAGACAACGGCTCCCCTCCTCTTCTTGAGGTAATCTGCCTGGATCTGTTGTTATTTTCATTCACTTCACTAAGTCCTACTGTTAGAAGAAAAAAAAGCAAGTTGCAGTGCCATCCATGTTGCATAAGATCAGTTATGTAAAAGGAAAAACTCACAAAGTGTGCTTTTCCAGGCTAGACGCTTATTCTATAAATGCACAGAGAAGTGCCTGCAAAGTCAAACTCAAACAGAAACAGTGGCTTCTTCTTAGGAGGGGATGGTGTGCAGATAGGTCCGGGAGAAATTTGTGTTAATTTTTAAAAGCTGTATCATATATTACTGATATAGATAAAAATTTACTTTAAAATGAAAGTGCAAAGGCACTTTCACGGGTCAAATGAGTGTGGAAATGAAGAGAATAAAGAATAAATGAAGAATGAAGTATGACCCATTGCCTAAAAATAATTCA